GATGATGATTGACATGTTGATGCGACGCAGTTGAACTAGGGGGGGGCGCCGGGGGGGAGAGGGGGGAGAGGGGGGAGCGGGAGGAGAGGGAGGAGCGGGGGGAGAGGGGGGAGCGGGGGGAGAGGGGGAAAGATGTGGGTGGGGGGAAAGCCTGCCGGGGTGCTGCAGTCGTACGGAACGTCAAGTGACCCAAGAAGTACTTAAAAACCAGGCTTAAAGACGTGTCTGTCTGTCTGTCTATCTGTCTGTCTATTCATTCATCTGAACGCGAAGAGCAGAAATCCTCTCCCACTAGCTCAGTGCCACAGACATTTGAGTGAATGAAACAAACCCTCCGCTAACGTCTCAATGAGTCATCACGGATTGTTTCCCGCCCTCCTCCCCCTCTTTCTCTCCCGACCCCCCGGATCCACTCTTGTCGTACCGGTCGTCACCTCACGCAGCACCTCCTCCCACATCGCGTCCATCTCTCGAACGGCATCCGGATCCCGGTACGGCATGTCCGAATCGTCCTGGACGAGCTTGGTGAGCACGGGTGTACGGCCCGGCGGCAGCTCGTCCAATCGTGAGACATCCATATGGCCGTACATTGCGGCGGCTAATGTACGGGGGATGGGTGTGGCCGACATATTCAGCAGATGCGGAGGCCGCTGGGCGATGAGACTACTCAGCCGTTCCATCTGTACGACACCGAACTTGTGCGACTCATCCAACACCAGCAAACCCAAGTTATGAAACTCGGTCAAGTTCAGAAGGCCGTGAGTCCCAACGGCCAGGAGGATGGAGCCGTCGGCAAGGCCCTGGGCGGCTAGGCGCTTCTCTTTCGCCTGTGCAAAGCGGGGGTCGGGGGGGGAGGGTGTCGCACACATACAAACATACATACATACACACGCGCGCGCAAGGCCAAACACACACGCGTACCTTGGCTTCCCCCGTCAGCAGCAGCGGCTCCCCCTCCAGCCCCGCCTTCCGCCGTACACGCTTCGGCAGCCTGTCCATCAAGGCCCCCAGATTGCGGTGGTGCTGCTGCGCCAGCACTGTAGTGGGCACCACCAGCAGGCTCTGCAGGCCGCAGGAGGCGGCGGCTAACATGGCCAGCAGCGCCACCACCGTCTTGCCGCTGCCCACATCACCTTGGAGCAATCTACCCGCGGGGGAGCGAGGGGGGAGGAGGAAAGACGAACCATGAACGAGTTAAGCAGAGGGGGGACGGGGATGGTGGCGGTGTTGAGGATGGTGGTCCATCTGGCAGGGAAAACCCCGTTTGATACCCTTCCCCCCTTCTCCCCTTCCAAAGGGGGGAATACGCCCCCTACCTCTCTCCGGCGGAACGAAGACCCCCTCCAGACATATACACACACAGACGTAAACATGCACATAATATACATACAGATACACATACATACATACATACATACATACATACATACATACATACATACATACATACATACATACATACATACATACATACATACATACATACATACATACACCCCTTACCGGTACATAGTGCTGCCCCGCTCCGGCCGCATGTCCCCCAACACCTCCCCAACCGCCCGCCGTTGAGCGCCTGTGAGCTCGAATCCAAGGGCCTGTACGGCAGCCGCCACCAGAGGGTCCGCGGACACGGGGGCCCAGTTGGGGCCTCTGCCCGGGGGGGCGGGGGGCGGGTGGAGGGGGGCCCACCGGTGTGTGTGTGTGTGTGTGTGTGTTTTGCTACTGCTAGCATGTGCTAAGGCCTGCTCTTGGCCCAGGCGCACGTGTCGATAGTGCTACTGCCGCTGCCACTGCTAACTCCCACGTCAGTGTCAATGCCGGCGCTAGCCTCCGGTTGGGACGCCGTACGGAACGTACGGAAGAGTACGAGTGCTGGGGAAAGGGGGCTTGCTAAAAATAACCCGAACAGAAAGAGCGGTTAAATTCCCAACAACTTCCCACATCCCGCCGAGCCTCCGCCGCCGCCGTCTCCTTCTAGAGAGTACGACAACACCCCCGACCTGGAATAAAGAACGCACAAAACACCATCAAAACACACGCACACATACATACATACATGCATGCGTACATACATGCAAACCTACATACATACACGCAC